TGAGACTCCATCTAATCTCAGATTAATCCCTGCAGGTCCACGTTGCTGCGGAGGGAATATGCTGACTGTGCAATATATGTGAATATAATAGTCATACCACTACCTCACCTTTGCTCCTCACCTACTACACTTTAATGTAAAAATAAATCCACCTTTATATAAGCCATCCTGATTGTACATATGTCACCTCAAATCTCTGTCCTACTCCCCTGTATCTCTTTTTTTTTCTCATTTTTATTTTGTTTTTTATTGTGTGTGTGATACATGTACACTTGCACCTTAACCCTATTTATCTTGATATACTGTATATACCTTGATATACTGTATATATATTGTTTATTCTGAATGTACCTTTTTCCTCCTTGTTTGCACCTTCTTTAATTATTACCATATGCCAATATGTTACCAGTGAATTTCTCCGCTGTGAGATCAGTAAAGCTCATCTAATCTAATCAAATCTAAAAAGATTCTGAATAATCTGCCTGGTGACAGCTGGGCCGACAGTGAGGTTACTGCCGCTACTTCACAGCTGAGATTGAAATCAACGGGAAATCCAGCAGATTTATTTCATCCATTTTGTTTCGCATAATGTAATGTTATTTAGGATGCATGTAAATAACAATGAGCTGAATGTGAGCCGTTAAAAACCGGAAAGATCCTCAGAAATGTTCCCCTGGATTAAGACAGCTTCAGTGGAAAATGTGTCTGTTTTCCCGAACCGAGTGACTGAGCAGGCCTGCAACAGACACCGCTAAGCTGCAGGATTAACAGTCAGAAATAAAGAGTCTAACGAAAACTAACAAATAATATTAATAATAATAATAACAGTAGTAATCATAATAATAACAATGATAATAACAATAATAGCAGTAGTAGTAATAATAATAATAGTAACAATAATAGCATTAATAATAAAAATAATAATAACAATAATAGCAGTAGTAGCAGTAATAATAATAATAATAATAATAATAATAATAATAATAATAATAATAATAATAATAATAATAATAA